CCCCCGCCTCTTTGGGCCAGGGCCTGGGCCGCTTCCCCCCTCCCCTTTGGGCCATGGCTGGGGCTACTCCGCACCTCCCTTCTACCACTTCGGGCCGGAGCCCACAACTGCGGTGGCAGTAATGGCTGCAGCAGGGCACAGACACCAGTAACCCCACCTCTGCTTCCTGCTCCCCTCCCTCCCCCATTCCAAGCTGCCTCCCTTACCTGGCGGCTGTTGTGGGCGGGGAACGGCTCCTGGCTCCAAGAAGCACACCTGAGGTGGCGAGGCCAGCACCACTGGCCTTGTCCCCCCACTCCATCCCCTCCATTATGGCAGCACTCTGGCCCCACCATCCCCCTCTGCCTCCAAGGAGCAGGGGAGGGGGTAAGGCCAACTCCATGGGCCTCATCCCCCTCCCCTCCAGCCCCTCAGTCCCTGCTGTCATGGTGGTGCTCTGCTGTCTGTCTCTGTCTGTCTGTGTAGAGTACCCCAACTGGTTGCTGAGACAGCCAATCAGAGTGCGAATAAAGTGTTACGGACAGACAAATAGAGGCTTTTATAATATTAGAATTTGGGGTGCTTGTTGGAAGGCAGCGTGCTGGCTCATTCTCTGGCTTGCCCCCCTTGCCTTCTCCCTGGCATTCTGCACACTGCTTCTGTAAGGCTCTAGTTCACTGTATTCCCAATTCACTCTGCCTTTCAGCTTCCTCTTTGTGCCATGGTGTGACAGGCCTTCATATGGGGGACCACTAAGTGCACATCAAGGATTACTATGGACAACTAAAGAAGAAAGTGGGGATAGGAGTGAAATTCAAAGTTTCCAAATGGGTATGCTGAGAGGGGACATCAAGCAGACGGCACCCACTGGTTCTTAAACACATCCAAGGAACCAGTGGACACTGACCAGTGAGGTTTTGCCCAGACACATGAAGGCACCAGGGGCAGGAAAACAGTCCCACAGTCCCCAGGGGTCCTCCTGGCCAGAGCCTCCTTCCTGGTCAGGTAGATTGCTACCTTAGCTAGGGCAACTGTGTGACACAGGTACAGTTGTTTCACAGGAGTTTTGGTATTGAGAGTTCAGCCACTGAATCCATACAAAGTGCGACCCTGGTGTTTCAGTGTGTAGACCACATCCATGGTGGTCATGATCTTGCACTTGGCATATCAGGCTGGAGATGTGCTTGATGCCACCATGGCAAGCCGGGCAGTAGATGGCCAGCTTGGTAACATTGTCGTGGAGGGCTCTGCAGTGGCACTTGGCACCGCCTATCCCTGACTATGGGCAGTCAGTCACTTTGCCGTGGGCAGTCACGGTCAAGAATGCAGGTGACGGTGAGTCACAGATTTAGTTGCTATGCCATCAGGGAAGCGAGGGCTTAGGTCCATCAAGTAAAATGATCCTTAAGGAGGCCACTGAGGCCAGAACAACTGGGACAAATCAAACCAAAGCAGGGAAAAGAGCGAGGGTCACAGGTTCAAAACGGGGGCACTGGGCCGAGCACACCAGACAGTGCCCAGCAGAGTGTCACAGGAGACTGTGCTCGTCCTGTCAGTGGCAGGTCTTGTGTTCATTAGCACACAGTGGCTGCCCTCAGAAACACCTTTAAGGCTCATTTCTGTGTACACCAGGTGGTGAACTGAGGTGCAAGCGAGGAGGGAGGGCCCCCTCACTCTTGCTGATCACAACCTAGGCAGATGCCAGCTTGGCTTGGCCGTCACATTCAAGGACACTGGAGTGTGGCAGAGACCCCACAGAATCACAGGGTGAGGGCTGGAGAAGAGCCAAGCAGGACCAGCCCCACCTGTCTGCCCCCAGCAGGGCTTTGTCTGCAGCTCAAAACCCCTCCAAGCCGGGACACTCGGCAGCCTGGCCCAGAGCTTCCCCGCCTCCTCCTCAGAGAGGCTCCCCTCATCTCTGCCCTCAGTCTCCCCTGCTGCAGCGCGAGCCCATTGCTCCCTGTCCTGCCATGTCCTGCCCTGCCAACAGCCCACTCCGTCCTCTTCGGAGCGTGGAGGGCTGCTGTTAAATCCCTCCCCCGGCTTCTCCTCTCCCACTAAACAGCCCGGTCCCCACAGCCTCCCCGGGGTGCCCCGCGCCGCCCCTACCTTGCTGTACTGCTGCAGCCGCCTCCGCGCCCGGCCGCGCCCGCGGGCCCGCTCGGGG